ACATAGGCTCACTGGAAACTGAATTCGTTTAAAATTAAACGGAAAATTTTTTGGAATGAGAGGAATCTGAGGAATAAAACCACTATCACCTTTTCCGCACCCTGTTAAATATATATATATTTATAAGCCATTTCTGAGATTAGCGTGAACAGACAAACAGACAAACAGACAAAAAAAAAGTTAGTTACATTTTTGGGTTCGACATCGACATAACAATAGCCCCTGCTATTTTTTTTATTTTTATTTTCAATGTACAGACAGCACTTTTCTACAATTTTATTATATGTATAGATAGATAGATAGATAGTGTTCGACGTGATTCTTTAATTTGACGTAACTTTTTTATTTATGAACCGATTGACATGAAACAAACACTAAAGCATAACTGAAGCATACCACAATATATTCGTGAAAACCGCATCCAACTCGGATAAGCCGTTTCTGAGATTAGCGTGAACAGACAAACAGACAAACAGACAAAAAAAAAGTTAGTTACATTTTTGGGTTCGACATCGACATAACAATAGCCCCTGCTATTTTTTTTATTTTTATTTTCAATGTACAGACAGCACTTTTCTACAATTTTATTATATGTATAGATGTTGCCTTAAATTAGGATTTTCTTCTGTCTTAAGTTACATAAAGTAAGATCAACATCAGCATTCTGCAACAGGTCCACCTGTGTTGATGATATTCCTCCCTCAATAATGGAGGGTTGCCATAATGCTCACTGTGTAAACGGGTTGGAGATCCCAGTTTAAAAAAATTAGGTTTTACTAAAAGGCACTGCCTCTGTTAAAGTCGGTTTCGGTCAAAAATGTAATCCCTTGCACATATAACAAGCACGGCTCCAGCGCAACTCCGATGCGGCTCCAGTACGGCGCTGTTTCGAATTTGTCTACCGCTAGCCGCCAGCACGCTTACGGCGCGTCGCCCGCATGTTGTAAGCGCGCCGTCGACACGCTAGAAGCGCAGGGGCGCCTCAACTACAACTCGAGAGGACCGCGCGCTATACAACGGCCGTCAGCTTTTTGTTGAAATATATCATACGACATACGATCTAAAGTTCATATTTAAATACAATGGCATTGCTGGGTTAGGGCTGTGCCAGAGCTTTGGTGAGCGGTGGGAAGAATCATGATGGTGACAAATGTGTTCTTCTTTCTTCGTGTAATCGCGCTCGGGTTACGGTATTTCAGCTGAGCACTGTGCTCATTGTTGTTTTTTTGTTTAATTTCTGTAACGGTCCAAATTAACTATTTTTCTTTCTTTCTTCTCTTCCGCCGTCATCACAAAGTAACGGAATAATAAGCTGTGTATTATATTAATGTGTTTGTTTCTTTGTTACAGTTGCAGCTGTATTCTCATTTCTATTACCACCGGATATACGGAAAAAGTAGTCAAATATTTTATAGTTTTAAGAGTATTCATCTATTTTGTAAGTTTTTGTGTAAATAAATATGATTCCAAAGATTTTATTCGATTTTTATTCCCATTGTATCTAACTAATATAAATGTGAAAATATTTGATTTTGTGTGTTTGTATGTTTGTGTCTATGTTTGTTATTCAATCACACCAACGAAGGGATCGGGATGAAAGGAACAGAGATAGATTATGGTCCGTAGTAACACATTAGTACTTGTTACCCCACTTTTTAGTTTATTAAAGCTTTTAGTAAAGCAACCTACCTGGGATGCGTGTGCTACGGGGCACCTGTCTGGGCTGATAGGGCCACAATAGGCGCGGTACGGCGAAAACTTCTTCAAGGCCAGCGTCTAGCCTTGATTTTCCTGTGTAAGGCTTATAGGACGGTTAGCACTGAAGCCCTACCTGTGCTCGCGGGCGTACTTCCGGTAGATCTTGAGGTGCAGCGACGTGCTGCTATGTACTACAGTGTGAGACCTAATTTGTCAGCTAGCTTTCTGGCAGAACGTGATAGAAATAAAATTGCAAGATTGTTTAAGCCAATAACGGACGTTTGGGATGAGCTTATAACTGAATGGCAGGGTAGATGGGCATCTTCTATTAAGGGCCGCCACCTGTATCAGTTCTTTCCATCCGTGCATGAGCGGCTGGAGAGGACATGGTTGGAGGTGGATCACTGTGTTGCCCAATTTCTTACTGGCCACGGCAACTTTAAAGGCAAATTGTTCTCATTTAAACTTATTGATTCACCATGGTGCCAATGTTCGACAGAGGAGTTGCGATACGAGCAGTCGGCCCATCACATACTCTGGGAGTGTGATCTCTGGCAATATGAACGTAACACTATGTTAAATAATTTAATTGTTTCGTCAGGTGTAGCTTATTATACGGACCTTGTGGAATCTAGAACGAATTTCCGTGCGTTTAGGCGTTTTTGCCATACCTATTATTGGAAGCAAGTATAACAGCTCACACATAGGACCCACTTAGTTTTTAGTCAAATTTCCGTGGTGCTTGGCGACTGGGCTTCACCCAGTTGTACAGTCTCTTCTTTGTGCCTTTAGGCTTAATTCATTCTGTCTCCTGCAGTAATTCACCGAGGGAAGTGAAAACCATAGTTTTTCTTCTTCTCCTCTTATAATATCTTCTGATTCACTTCGTTGCGGGAACCAAGACAGTTACTCATGTCCCTGGGACGCGCCGGACTTTAGTGTTCCGGTGTTTTCATGGTTGTATCTACTGTAGATCCTGGCTTACAGGAGTTGCAGCGGTTTTGGGAGGTTGTGGCGGGCTTATCCCAATTAAAAAAAAAAAATAAAAAAAAGCAAGTTCTTATATAAATAAGATTGGCATAATTAAAGAAGGGTAAATTAAAAGTACCTTTAACCGACGAGCATGCATGAAAAGATAGATGACTGTTGATGAAGCGAAAGAGGTATGTAGGAATCGTAGCAATTGGCGTTCCATAGTCTCTGTCTTGCCCTATGAGAGACAGACGTGAAGTTATGTGTGTAAGTATGTTGTACCTCAATGATGAACTGACCGGTTATTAGAGAGGCTCATAGTACCTCCAGACAAATCACTCATAATGGTAAATCACGACGCAAGCGTTTCACGCCGGTTTATCACTCCAGTCGAGCCGACCCAGTCGTGCCGAAGAATGGCTCACGCACGTGAAATACATAGAGATACTCAGCACTATAACATGAGTTGATCATGTGTCTCCCTGACTCTGTTTCATAAGTAGTAATCAGATATATCATCTGTCCCAGATCAATATATTTATCTAGTCTCCATTCTAGTTTTAAAACAGACAACAGGTATTATCTCATTGTTATAGTACACTAGTAAATAGATTACTAGACAGATAGGTACTTATTTATCTAAATGGATCGAAGATGTCATCTCAATGTCTTATATTGACCTGAATACTAATACCAATCTGTCTGATTATTTATTATTATGTTTTCGGCTTACTCACGTAACTTTTTGATGATTAACTGCCAGGAGACGCCGCGTCGCGGGTCGCGGAATGCTGCTCATGAATATGCACTTCTAGCACGGTTTGAAATTAGTCGAGCTCCTCGTCTCTCTCGTCGACTGCCTCGTTGGCCGAGTGGTCGCAAGGGCGACTGCCGGGCAAGTGGTCTCGGGTTCTATTCTCGGGTCGGGCAAAGTATTACTGGGTTTTTAAAAAGAACCTCAGTAGCAGCTCGGTATCTGGAAATGTGCCCGGTATATGGCAATAGGCTCATCCCCTATTACATGGGACTCATAACATAAACAGTGAAAAGTGGGTGTTACATTACAACAGTGGCATTAAGTGCCGTAATGTGCATCTCTGCCTATCCCTTCGGGGATAAAAGGCGTGATGTTATGTCTCACGTCTGACTGGTTATCTTGGAATAGTATTGTTTCTTTATGTCGTAAAGGAACTTTGGAATGTGTGTACACTACAGTCACTACACGTTTTTTTTAAACGTTGTACACAAGGATTTGCTCCTGTACCGTGGGTGCATTTACAAACATACAACATCACATATATGTATATGTGACACTCAGACTTGGAACAACAATTTGTCGATCACACAAAGAGCTGCTCTGTGCGGGGATCGAACCCGCTTCACGTTACGCGGCAGACGGTTGCCCAGCCACCGCACCAACCGTGCAGTCAATATGTTATGTTATAAATGTTTTTTTAATTTAAAGCCTTCTTTGTAATCAGATAGCAAAGAGGAAAAACTGATTTGGTTGGATTACCAAAAATTTAGAATCCCCTATATCTCTATTCTTTGATGACTCCATGGCAACCAAATCATACCAAGCATAACCAGAGTAGTAAAGCTCGTTGATCTTATTTGTAGAATGTAACATGATTTTATTTTTTTCCAAATACAGCGAGAGCACTCTTATTTATAAGACTTTATTTTGTATTTCTGGAAAATCGAATGTAACCAAAGTATCGCTTAAACTGTCAAATACCAAGCGGTCACCGGTGACCGCAGCCTGTTGTTCTATAATTGTGTCTGCGAAACCGGTACTCGACGAGATAAATCTACATAGTATAAATAGTTATTATATTACATTAGTGTGACCTCCAGATTTACTACTAAAAAACGATTTTATCGGCCAGTTTCAATAACCTCTGTATCTGTAGATTTGCTTATTAGAGAGTGGAGATACAATTTTTACATAAGCTCCATACAAAATGTGTACAAGCTATAAAAATAATTTGTCTTTATCAACGTTTTGGGACCGAACCGTTTACACTCTGTATGTAACACACTTATCAGATGGGTTGAAGATTGCAGTCCATTATTTAGAATTAGGTTCAGCCTATTTATTAGTATTAGGTCAATAGAATATGCAATCCCTTAGTATGCTCTTACGGTACACGCGGGAAGACTAGGGGTGGTTCCAAATCACCACACAAAAACTAGTTTCTCGTAAATAATAAAACAAAATGTAAATAAACAGAAAATATGGCAACAGTTTTTGTCAAACGAGCGATATCGTAACGTTGAGATAAGCTGACCTTCTACTCAGTTCGCGTTGATCAGTCGATCGTAAGACGCTGAATACGAAACACCTTACTTATTAAAAACTAAAAACCTGAATAAACAATACTATTATCATAATTACGTTGGTTTACAAACTGTGTCAAAGTGATTAACTATTAGAAAAACAACGAACATGGTGCCCAATATTTTGAAGAAATAGACTTATTTCTCATAGTGATATAAGTTCTTCTTTAACTATTAAATTAGTTTTAAATAAATCAATATGGTTACTAGATTATTACAATAAAATTACTTACTCTAAATAAAATACAATAGGTGAATAAATACGTTAAAAAGTATAATATTTAAAGATTAAGTTTAAAAAATGGCGCCGTCAAAAAATAGTTACGTGTTCAACAAAAAGGACAACGACGACAATAATATAGAAATGAGTGGTTCTAAGATAAGTAAACTACAATACAGCTATGAAGAGGCCTTGGAAATAACTGGTAAGATACTAATTAACTAACTAACTATACTTTACTATACTTAATTGGCATTACTTAAGTGGCTACTTAAAAACTTGCCTTACAGTCAACGACAAAGGTTGTAAATCAAATGTTCAATCCTTCAAAAAAAGAGCGTATTCCTTTTTAAAAGGCCGGCAACGCACCTGTGACTCCTCTGGTGCTGCGGGTGTCCATGGGCGGCACTGATCGCTTACCATCAGGTGATCCGTACGCTCGTTTGCCTCCTATTCCATTAAAAAAAAATGTATTGTCACTGGGTCTACAAAATTAACAAATGACTCTAATAGCAACCTTTCTTTGAGGATTGCAAATCGTGATATGACTCCTCCCACCTTCAATGAGGAGTATCAGACTTCCACTGACTAAAAACCATCTCGTTCCTACTCCTGTTTTACCTATGGCTAGTATTCTGTGCTATGGATGAGTTGTAATTGTGGCTAGCCTCGCCCGTAACCACGAAATACGGGGCCTACAAAATAATCAAAAACCTTCTAATAATATGGCATTTTAATTCTGCACTTTAATTGCTAAAAGAAAAGGTACCTATTCTATGTAAACAGGATACCGGTTATGCCTGTTAACTCGTCGAGTACCGGTTTTGTAGACACAATTAAGGAACAATAGGTTGCGGTCACCGGTGACCGCTTGGTGTTTGACAGTTTAAAGCACAAGTAAGTTTTGTTAATTATCAACTGTAGAGGAGATGAGAGTGTGGGAATGTGGGAGAGCCATGCTTCGGCACGAATGGCCCGGCTCGACCGGAGTGATACTACGGCCGAGCAGAAAACCGACGCGAAGCAACGCCTGCGTTGTGTTTCACCATGTGAGTGAGGTTACCGGAGGCCCAATAACCCCTGTCTCTGTTTTTATAATAACTATCGTGAGACATACTAAATTCATTAAAATCGAGGGTAACTCACGTGAATATACTGAGAAAAGCTCTACTAGTTTCGAACCACAGAGGGGTTCTTCCTCATGAGCAGCGTGCGCGGCCGCGGCGACGTCGCGCAGCTCACTTAATTAACCCCTGTCTCCCTTCCCCAATCTCCTCAATCCCTGAATCTCCAACAATCCTCAAATTCTAATCCGCAAAAGGCCGGTAGCATGAGCGACGCTGCTTACTTAATATCAGGTCCGTCCTGCTCGTTTACCGGCTTATCCCATAAAAAAGATGTCTCAGATTGTAGGGCAAATAAGTCATGTGGTAATAGCAAAACATTTATTTTGGAGCATCCCTATTCTTCCCGCGGGTGGAAAAGTCAAATGAATAAATTCAATAGTTATGTAGATTAGCACTTTCTATTGTAGATTTATAAAAAAAGAACGAAAGTGCATAATTTTGTTGATAAATGCTTTCGTTTATTTACATTTCTAAAATAAATATTTCTAAGCCAAAAACTAAAATAAACAATAGAGACTGCTAGGTAATAAATAACCTAGTTGGAAGAACCAATTACTGTTGATGACATTCGCTATTATGTCGTAAGTGCTTATTAATACTTTACTAAAATATAAATTAGGACGAACGATAAAACCGAGGTACTTTGATGTAGTTTAACTATCTTTTACCCGCGGCTTTGCCCGCATATTTTATCTCATGGGAGCATTTAATCGGGACAGAAAGTATTCTTTTACGTATTCATTTTTTATTAAAAAACCCCTCACTAGGATTTTCTCCTGTATCGTGGATGCGTTTGAGCAGAGCGTGTGAAACCGCGCGGAAGTAGCTAATAGATTATAGTTTTAAAATAACCGTTTTCAGCCCCTCTGTTTTTAAGTCAGTTAATTTATACTAAAACTTTTTCCGAAGTGTAACAAACACTTCTCAGACAACCGCAGCAAAATCGGTTCAGCCAATCGCGAGGTAATCGCGCACAAACATACATACAGGACCAATTGAGAACCTCCATTTTTGAAATCGGTTAAAAATACTCTCCACGTCACTTGATATAATAAGCTCATCTAATCTGGTTATAATGGGTGTTACGTTGCATGTGTACAACTCTCCCACATTAGCACTCTCTGTCGTGTCGTGGGTGTGTGTTTACATACACTTTCACATCACACCCAGACCTCTTAAACCCAATATCAACGCAATTTCAATCCAATAAACTCACAATAATTATTAAATGTCAAAACTATACAACCCCTATCGTTGCTGTTGAAATAGCATTCAGAGTACGGCATATAAAACCAAACTCAATAATACCATTTAGTTCATTAAACATCCACGCAATACGGATGAGCACAAGTATTGTAACCAATTGCAACTTAAGAGTACAAAATTTTACAATACCAATGTCGACCGATCGGAATTGGATACAAGAATAAGCGCCCTGAAATGATAATTTCATAAATGAATCCTACTATTCTGCTTTTATTAGAAACTAGCTTCTGCCCGCGACTTCGTACGCGCAATCCCGATATTTCCCGTTACCGTTCTAGATTTTCGGTAAAAAGTAAAAAAAAAGTATTCTATAAAAAGTATCCTATGTCCGTCTCCTGGTTCTAAGCTACCTCCCTGCCAATTTTCATCCAAATCGATTGAGGCGTTCTTGAGTTATAAATAGTGTAACTAACACGACTTTCTTTTATATATATAGAAGATATGAAAGGTTATTTGTTTGTATATAACTTCTTCACATCAAAACGGCTGAAGGGATCGGGATGAAAGTTGAAACAGGGGTAGGTTATGGTTTGGAATAACACATAGGCTACTTTTTATACCAAGGAGGATGCGAGAGAACCCGTTGGCAGAAGCTAGTACTTAATTTGTATCGTTAAATCTATATTATTTCTTTAAACTGTCAAACACCAAGCGGTCACCGGTGACCGCAACCTATTGTTCTATAATTGTGTCTACAAAACCGGTACTCGACGAGTTAATATATAAATCCATGATTACGTAAAGTTTTCTTTACATAACCTGTCACTAATTACTATAAATAAAAACTAAATTATTATATAAATTGGAGTATGCAAAAACACAACACACATTTTTATTTAACGACAACTTTTTACAATAATATCGTTATATATATATATTATGTACATGTGTTGTATATAAACCTCTATGAATAAATAAAATATAATTTTACAATTTGACATTTAAAAAAAATTAAATAATATCATGCAAATGGCTTCTGAATTATACATACATACATCGCTGCACGTGACTTAAAAAACGTGAGATTAAAACCCAAACTGGTTTTCGTTTTGAGATGCTGTTTTTTCGCAAAATATTTTTGCGAAAAAACTTTGGGAATGCCACTTTAATAGGTCGAAATCAACTTATAAAATATATTTAAAAGGAATAAAATAGTCCTGGGTTGGGCTAAGTAATACTGGGTTTTAAAAAAAAATTCTCAGTAGTAGCACGGAGTCTGGAATTGTGCTCGGTATGTGTATGGCAATAGGCTCACTCCCTATTACATGGGACTCATATCATAAATAGTGAAAAACAATGTAAGACAATGTGCACCTTTGCCTACCCTTTCGGGGCTAAAAGGCGTGATGTTATGCTAAAAGGAATAGTTGTATTTGTGTATTTAGTAGATTTTTTTATAATTAAAAAAGAAAATTGCCTCACTAGGATTTTCTCCTGTGTCGTGGGTACGTTTACAAACATACCTCTATACACCCAGACCCGAAATAGCAATTTGTGGATCACACAATCATATATTGCGTAGCAGACAGTTGTCCAGCGTTCGCGCCAAATGTGGAGTTAGGTCTTTCACCAATTTCTCATCTCTACTACATATATAAAAATAAGTCGGATTTTCCTTCCTGACGCTATAACTCCAGAACGCAAGAACCGATTTCCACGGTTTTGCATTCGTTGGAAAGGTCTCGGGCTCCGTGAGGTTTATATGATATAAAACATAAAAAAATTCTTCTTCTTCATCTTTTAATCACCAAACGAAATGTTACATAAAACGAAGCCGGTGGCGAAACGGAGTTCGCCGGGTTTGCTAGTAATTATTAAAAGCAAATAAACTCATTTTAATTACACTTAGATTCCAACTTCAATATCGTATCTAAAGGCATAGCATTTTATTTACTATTTTGGTAAACAATATTAAATTCTAACTGACCCGCCTAATATAATTTTTCTTACTTACTTTTTAAACCTTCCCTGGACTTTCATAAACATTTCAACGCCAAAATTAGCTATTGGTTCAGCTGTTCTCGAGTTTTATCGAGACTAACGAACGAACATTCATTATTGTTTATATAGATATTGCTGGTCAGTATAATCTTGAGAGCAACAACCCCATTTAGTGATATTAATTACCTATATTGATAATATAATTGCATTTTAATGTAATAACAATGAAAATGTTGTGTTGCAAACAAACTTATATATAAATATTTTAAGATCTTAAAAAATTGCTGTATAGCTTATGTATTCACAATAAATATAAATGCTAAAGAAATCAGCAGGGACTCCTTTTCGGTATTAAAATTTGCATTCTAGTAATCTTAAAAATATAAAAGTGCATCGCGAGCAAAGTTGAGGAAGCGAATAGTCTCTGCCTACCCCCATGGGAGACGGATGTGTGGTTGTATATCCATGAATGTAGCCCGAGTTTTGCACTTATGGTCTTAAGTTTGGTCCTCTAATAATAATTATTTTTATGATACAAATAAAAATATCCTATCTGTAACACCTCACATACCTATGTTTACAAATAAAAATATTCTGATTCTGATTCTGATATTTTTAAAAATATAACAAGAAGCGTGTACATAATTATTAATATTATCATATTTGAGTACGCAAATCATTGTAATCCTTAATAATAAAAACGTTATATAAACAATACAAAAATATTATATATTTTCTTGGCACTCTTATATACACAATATACAATACACCCAAATGCATATAATTATGACACTGTTTACGAGTTTTATAAATATCAGTAGGTAAGTATACTAAAGTGTAATGACCCCTAATGAAATTGTAATACACAGGC